TCCGTCGCTATCGCGATATTGGCTTGGGTTTCAAAACCCCCCGTGAAGTAAGTTCAACTATACAAATTTCCATGCATTCTATGCCGAAACCTAAGATACATTTAATATTTTCTTTATTTAGGCCGTTGATGGTACTTACATCGACAAAAAGTGTCCATTCACTGGTAATGTGCGCATTCGTGGTCGTATTTTGACAGGAGCAGTCCGTAAATGTAAAATGCAACGCACTATTGTTATTCGACGTGATTATTTGCATTTCGTTCGCAAGTACAGCCGTTTTGAAAAGCGTCATAGGAATATGAGTGTTCATTGCTCACCATGCTTCAGGTAAGTTTGTTATTAAATACGAATACAGCAACAATAGATAAGAAGACGTGGCAATGCAAGTATCAAGGGAATTCATGAATGTTTAGATTAAGAACATTAGTCTTATGGCGTTTTCTTTTCTGCAAAACATATTTTCGCTGTCCCCTTAAATATGGACGCAGCACAAGTAAGGTTGGCTGATTTCCTAAATGCATTGATGCAAAGCATCAGCCTGCTTTATTTCTAAACTATAATTGATGTAAATGCTCAATTTGAGCAACTAAGTTCCAATTCAACATTTGAACGTGGTCGCGCATATTGGACATTTCCATCAGTTACGGTTTAGAAATAAAAGAAAGAAAAAATCTCAATTCAAAAAGTCAATAGCATAGAATTTGTATTTAAAACATTTGTATATAGCAATGTGATGCTTCTTAGCCAAGTAATGTTAATCCTATATAACTTTGAAGTCAGCAATTAGCTATTAATTAAGTTAAATGTTATCTGTAGTCGTCAGAGGGGCCTTAACATAGCGCACTTCAGTGCTCGTAGCTTGAATGCTGATAAGTTTAATCATGTAAATTCCCTATTAGTCCGTTTTTTGATGTCATGTCTGCGTATCTTGTTGATTATAATCATATCATTGTTTGTTGCGATTTTAATGTGAATACCCTTGTACGTGACTATTACAGCGAAAATTTCCTTGATAATGTTGCTAGTGCATAACTCTCGATGGCACACATGGCGATACCAACAAAATATGCGGTAAATTGTAGTCCAAACCTACTTGACTATTCTTACAACGCTTTTATCAACTTGCAATGTTGTGTGTCCAGACACCATTTCCAGCTATAATTACACTATGCGACAGTCAAAATCGGGATGGGATGAAACCAACGGGAAATGTTATATCGGTAAAAAAGAAGTTATACGTGTCCCGGCGTTTCGCTGGGTCACGTCTAGGAATCGAGATATATATATAACTATCATATAGGGGAAATTGTCACCTTTGGTGGTCTTTTTTTGACATAACTCGAGAACCACTAGTCCGATTTTGCTCAAACAAATTTAAAAAAATTAAAAATTACAATTCCTTTAATCTGTTCATACAACGTTTTTCTATATAATCAAGTTTTGCCGGTAAAAATAAATGTATAGGTTAGGTTAGGTTGTCGCGGTCGTCTATAAGACACACTTAGGCTCAGGGCCCATTGTGATGCCGCATGTTGGGTCAGCAACTCCCGATCCCTCCTAAAACCATTTTGAACTTTGAACGAATTTTAGAAGATCCCTGATTTCGACGCATCTAAGGTCCTCCAAGTTGTCGAAGAATTGCCTACCGAGAGTGGAGAGTCTTCGTCTAGATAGAGCAGGGCATTGGCACAACAGGTGGAGAATCGTTTCCTCCTCTTCTTCATCTTGACAGCTTCTACAGAAGTCATGTGAGCGTAGGCCGAGTCGATCGGCGTGCTTGCCAATTAGGCAGTGTCCTGTTATGACGGATACTAATAATCTAATATTGGACTTATTTAGACTCAGTAGTAGGCCAGTGCGGTTGGCGCTGAGCACCGGCCATAATTGTTTGGCAGTTTTGCAGGTGATTTCGTCCTGCCACCTTTCGTTCGCTACTTTAGTGAGCCTCTCGGAGATAAGTAGCTTACAGGTTTGCAAGGGTATTCCTATTTCGTCATTTATATCCTCAAAAGGAAGTTTCGTGCCAAGTCGCGCCAGTTCGTCGGCCTTACAATTCCCCTCTATGCCGCAGTGTCCCGGAACCCATATTACCTTTGGGCGAAATGACTCAGCCATCTCGTTAAGAGATGCGCGGCATTTCATGGCTACCATGGAGGTTGTCGACTGCTTCGTGAGGGACTTTATTGCCGCCTGGCTGTCAGTGAAGATGTAGATATCAACTTGGGGTATCATATCACACTTTACCAGTTTCGTGGCCCTGTCGATTGCCATCAGTTCAGCCTGAAAAACGCTACAGTGGTCCGGGAGACGAAAGCTGAGGGAGATTCCCAGGTGATGGGAATATACACCTCCTCCAACCCTACCCTCGAGCTTTGAGCCATCTGTGTATACATGGATGGACTCTCCACTACTTACAGCGTCATGCTTCCACTCTTCCCTTGAGGGTAGGAGGGTCGCGAACGCTGTAGCGGGTGCAGGTTCCGGAAGTGCATAGTCCACCAATCCGGGTAGCCCCGGAACTTCCGTTAATATTCTACCGTGACCATAACTGGTATTTGACCACTTATTTAGAGTATTCATTCGAATTGCCGCGCCACTTGCGACTTGTTTGGCATGTAGGTCCACCGGAAGAAAATTCAGTAGGGCATACAGTGCCTTGGATGGTGTTGTTCTCATCGCACCAGTTATGAGTGTGGACGCAAGCCTTTGAACCTTGTCCATTTTTTTGAAGTTTACCCCTTTCCCAAGGGCGTTCCACCATACCACTATACCGTGATAGAGAATTGGCCTAACCACCGCCGTGTATAGCCAGTGTATTATTTTGGGTTCCATCCCCCATTTTTTCCCTATTGCTCTGCTGCAGGAATATAGTGCCACTGTTGCTTTGCGCACTCTATCTGCAACGTTGGGCCCCCAGTTTAGTTTCCTATCTACTATGAGACCTAGATATTTGGTCTCTTCCTTTATTGCGAGGGTATTGCCCTCTAGGGTTATGTTCCCGAGATCAGGTATCTTGTGCTTCCTGGTGAACAGCACAAGGTCTGTTTTTTCAGGATTCACTCCCAGTCCTCGCCTGTTACACCACAGGGATAGTTTGTTGAGGGATCTTTGGATCAGATCTGTCAATGTTGAAAGATGTTTACCCGAGATAGCTATTACAATATCGTCGGCGTATGCAATTATCTGACCGCCAATGTCTTCAAGTTCCCGAAGAAGGCTGTCTACTGCTATATTCCACAGGAGCGGTGATATTACTCCCCCCTGGGGTGTACCCCTGACGGGGAACCTTTTTATAACTGATTCACCTAATCCTGCGCTTATTTCTCGGCCGATTAACATTCGTTCAATAAATGAGGTTAGTGAATTGCTTACTCCCAGATTTATCAGAGATGAGATAATCGCTGCAGGAGATACATTGTTGAAAGCACCCTCGATGTCCAGGAAGGCCGCGAGGGTGTATTCTTTGTAATAAAGTGATCTTTCAATTGTGTGCACTAAAGAATGGAGTGCTGTTTCGACTGATCTCCCTTTGTTGTAGGCATGCTGGGCTGCCGAAAGTTTGCTGCCCACCTTGTCTCTAATGTGCCCATCTATTATTCTCTCTAGAGATTTCAACAGGAAAGACGACAGACTAATTGGTCTGAAGTTTTTGGTCTCGTGTGTGTAGTTTTCCCTGCCTTGGGAATGAAAACTACTCTTACCTCCTCCCATTTGTGGGGTATATAATTCATTCGTAACACTGCTTCAAAGACTGGTACGAGTATGGGTGCAATCATTCCTGCTGTATGCTGTAGGTCAGCGGGAATAATGCCGTCTGGTCCCGGAGATTTAAACGGTTGGAAGCTGCTAATAGCATGCTTTATGTTCTCCTCGGTTATGATATTCGCTGGAATGTCATCATGGTTGCCTATGATTCGGGTATTTGTGACTCTACTGTGGAGGCAACCCGGAAAGTGCGTCTGTACAAGAAGCTCTAGAGTTTCTTCGCTGCTAGTTGTCCAATCACCATCCTCCTTGATGAGATAGCTAATATTGCTGGGACTCATAGATAGTATTTTGCGCAGTCTGCTGGCCTCCGAAGTACTTTCTATCTTCTGACAGAAGTTCCTCCATGAGGAGCGCTTAGCGTCTCTTATTGCATACTTAAATCGGCGTTGCCAATCTTTAAATTCACTCCAAGAGTTGGATCTCTTAGCTTCATTAAATTTTGATCTGCATTCCCTTCTGAGGGTTGCAATTTCAGTGGACCACCATGGAGGTTTTGGTTTCCTACTTGTTGCCCTGATTGGGCAGGCTGATTTTGCTGCACGATGAAATGCTTTAGTTATATCGTCTACGACGTTATCAAGTTGATGTTCCGAGTTTATTTGATTTGTGAGGCCGGAAATATTATTAGAAAATATTGTTTCAAATCTTTTCCAATTTGTTTTTCTGCGGTTTAAGACCGCTTGTTGTTTTCTTACTGGTACGTATAGGTTATAAACGACGTACATGTGATCCGAAAAGGAGTTGTCTTTTGAGACTCTCCAGTCATTCAAGAGTTCTGCCCCCTGCTCATTGACACATGTAATGTCAAGGGCCTCCCTTCTAACAGACGTCACAAAGGTAGGGGTATCACCTACGTTGCTAACCTGTAAGTTATTGCACATAATGAATTCGAATATCGACTCACCGCGTTCATTTGTATCTGAGCTGCCCCATATGTGATGATGGGCATTCGCGTCCGCTCTTATGACCATCGGAGTGCCGCGTCTAGAGGCCTCCATTACCGCGCTCCTTAAGGATTGTGGTGGAGGTAATGTTTCTGCGTCGTGGGCCATATATGTGGAAGCCAGCCAAATAGACATTCCGCCTGATTCCACTGCTATGATGACGTTGTCCGCATCGCTAAACTGTATCAAGAGAAATGCATTAATACACTTTTTTATCAATATGCACGACCTGGGTTTACCTTTGTCAGTTACATAGAACAGCTTGTATCCCTTCATATTCAATCCACAAACCCGATCTTTTATGACCCAAGGCTCCTGGATGAGTGCGATCTCCTCTTCTCTTTCGGCGAGACGGAGGAGAAATAAATGTATGAAGAAAAAAAAAAATATTTTTTGCCTAAAATATTAAATTTTTTTAAATCTGTTGATTATATAGAAAAACGTTATATGAACAGATTAAAGGAATTGTAGTTTTTAATTTTTTTAAATTTGTTTGAGCAAAATCGGACTAGTGTTTCTCGAGTTATGTCAAAAAAAGACCACCAAAGGTGACAATTTCCCCTATATGATAGTTATATATATATCTCGATTCCTAGACGTGACCCAGCGAAACGCCGGGACACGTATAACTTCTTTTTTACCGATATAACTTTCCCCGGTAGTTTGAACCCTTCCCGATCTCTGACCCCTACCATTTGTCTCACAGTGTTATAGATTGTACTCAAAGTTCCTAAATATACAAAAGTCTAGACATCAACCTCGACGGTACGCTACAGCGGTAATGGACGACAAGCTATTTCTCTAAATGAAATTAATTGGTGATCGTATGTATGTACATATGTACATATATACATACGAGCACAAAATATTTTGCTTGCATATGCACAAAATAAACCACGCAAATATATTTGCGCAAATACTAACTTTTACAAATAGGAATCGAATAAGAATCTTTGTTTCTACTAATCTGTATCTGCGCAAATATATGTGTGGTGTATTTTTCGCAAGTCTTCTCTTCTCTTTTCATTGCTCGTAAAATTTAATATCTGTTGCAAAATTTTATACAGACAAGACTAAAAAGTAGAAAATAAATAAAATAAAAAACTTTTTAATATACAACGCTTTTATAAATGGAGTAAAAAGTAGAAAATAATATTTCTCAGTCCCATAGAAATTGTTTTGATAACTTTTGATTTTGAAATTTTAGCAAAAGTCATTATAAACATTTTATGAGATTGGAAATGAAAAGCGTGGGACGAATGTAATAGACTTGAATTGATATGAAAAGTAATATACATATGTATTTATGTATGTATGTCACATTCTATGGGACTGAAAACGAAAAACGTGGAGTGGATGCAATACAAAGCATTAGATTTAATTGACAATAGTCAAACTATTTAACATAGACCTAAAATTTCTACAGAGCAAGTACAAATTTGAGATCGATTTTAAGCGGTCATTATTCATACACCCACATACATACATATATTACTTTTCATATCAATTCAAGTCCATTACATGCGTCCCACGCTTTTCATTTGCAATCTCATAAATTGTTTATAATGACTTGTTTATTTATATTGTTTTTATTTTATTTTATTTATAATGTTTCCGACTTGACCGATGTCTTAGAATTTTACCAAATTACGTGTTTTTCTGACCGTGATCTAATTTTTTGTTGCTTGGACATTAATGTTGAGCGAAGTTGTGACGATCGGCCTTTTTCGTATAGGGACTTCGAGCAAAAGTCGGTCCTTTTTAATTCTTCTTTTACAAAATTCTGATATCGAAGGTTCCATATTTTGAAATTCTGTTTCACAAAATTCTACTTTTCGCACTTTCGTCTGAAAATTCTGCTTTTGTGGTAGACAAAATTTCCCATATTCGCCTTTAGCTTAAATCTATATTTAGGAAATACATACGGGCGTTTCCACGCAGCCGTACGCGACATTCGTACGCTTATGGAGTACCATAAATCTCAAAAATAGAAGTTACTGAAAAACAAGACTACGGTTATGTTGAAACCCAAGGGTACTATGTTTAAGAAAAATATAAGCAGCCTCGAAACTTTGGTGTGGAAAATATCCGTTCAAAACAAGGTGATAACGTATGCGTACGTACTAAGCTAAATAATGTACCTTTGAAATCCATCCATTTTTTCATAGAAATTATCTGGTTAGTTTTTATTAAAAAAAACATAATAACGTACGCGACATAACGTACGCCACAGATTTTTCCCCTATACAATATTTTTACCAGTAACACATACTAAATTCAATTTTTAATTTAATTGTTTCAGTTCATCTCCACCGTTTCCCGTTTTCAAAACTTTTTCTGCAATCTGAATACGAAATTTAAAGTTATAAAGCCGCTTAAATTCATTTGCTTGCATTTTCGGTTTAAATTTTCATGAAAAGACCCATATGTATGTTCTAAGCGACTTAAAAATCTGTTATACGTAGCGAAAAATATTAATACAGCATGTCCCACTTTTCTCATTAGTCAATCTTATCCCCACTAAGTTCCATTTATTAGATAATAAAAAATCGCAATCATAATAAAATGACATCCAGATACACCATTATTCTGAAAAGTATACGCTTGGAATATACTTTAACTACACGTATGCATGTATGTAATTTATCTGTACATACATATCGAGGGCTTGTATTCAATACCGGCACTTTTCACAAAAATGAGATTCTGATATAAGAATCTACCTAATAATTAACTGTCATCGGTGATGTTAATGCTGACCTTGTATAACGCTTGACATACGAATTTACTATTACATTGCAAAGTCAGAACTAACATCAGTGATGATAGGTTGATAGGTACGTCCCAGATGGGTTCTAACATCACAAAGTAGTTTTTGTGAAAATTGCAGATAGAGGGTATTGAATATAAGCCCTCGATATACATTACCACCATAATTCATATATTTGTGCATATTCCTACATTCCTTCCAACTGAAAAGCATTTGCTTGCATTACTTACATAAAGGGTGAACACGCCAAAACTGCGACACTTGGAGATTACTACCAGAAACAAACTAGAAGGCTTTGAAATTATTTTTTTTTGTATTATATAACTTGGATAAACTCATCAGCCCGCGCAAGAACGGAATTATAACCAAGTAATTAAAGTGTATTAAAAGCTGGCGACATTCGGGGTGTCGATACTCACCCCTCAGTGGAAAGTGGAAAGTGAAATCGACTGCGTCCAAGCAAATATAAGGAAAAAGGCTGACTGTAAAAAGCCTTTTTTTCTGGTATCTAGTTAATAGAGGCAAAAGGTGCCGTCACATTCCTTCCGGCAAATCCCCAGCCATGTTGCGTAGAATAAAGAAGTTGTGAGCATCAAATCTGGACTATTCATTTGACAGCAATTGAGTCACCATAAGCCGATAATACAAAATCATTACACGTAAGTCAGCCACTTTCTTGCCACCCTCCATTGGAAACGAGCTATCCATCAACCGTAAATAAAGATTCCTGTTTGGACCGACAAACGAAGGTCAAGCTAATCATTGGTACCCAACGTGGGGAATTTAGTTTCAGTACGCATTACTTGAGCTACGGTAGATGAAAGGCATTGGTAAATGATTTGGTTATAAATCTTTTCTTGTTTGCTTTGATCGATTTACTAGCTATGTACTGAGGATATAATATAACAAAACTATGGATATAACAAAACTAAACTTAATTAATTTATTCAAGCCGGGTACCCTGTAATAAGGCAGAATCAATGGAGTATGGAGGCCCGCCATATATTCATCGAAATTCTTGAGAAGGCGAATGTACTGAATGAGTTAACGTGTTGTGATTAAATCGGCGGAATAATTGCCACGCACTCGGTGTTTAGCATCGATCAGTTCTATGAATTCGAACCAAGTTTCCGTGAAACATAGGCTCTAATTTTTGGTGGGGCTAGTTTTTGTGCATAGCCCTCTCCGGCCACGGACTGTTTAGGATTGGGAATGTACACTTCCGAGCCTATCTCGAAATGGCGTTCTCTTTTGCGGGTCAATGCCCGTTGTGCGGTTTGTTGATATTGTTCGAACTGTGTCTCGAATTTAATCAGCCAGAACTTTACGCTGTTCCACATCCTGTGTATGGTATGGATTTACATCCAATAATAATTTATATTCGTTTCCATCTTTC